TTTAGGACGTTTCCTTGCAGGCAGTGCAAGAGGTTCGCAGAGGGGAAAACCGAGGCTGTGCTGCAGGAGGCGGTGGATGGGTATGGAGAGCGTCGGGGTGCGCTCGCCCCACCTGGGATAGCAGCTGGAGTGCTGAGAGGGGTGGTGGTCGTCTCGCTTTGCAAAATGGGGGGGGTGGGCTGAGCCGGTGTGGTGGATCTGAGGGCTGCTTCCTGGTGAGAGGTTGGCATCTCTTTGGGTTTTTTGAGAGGATGTTGTTGTTTGGTTCTTGTGCTTTTCCTGCACGGCTCCCGTTGGTCCCAGCTCTCCTCCCTGCTCGCTTTGGTGCTCGGAGCTCAGGGGGAGGGAGAGCTCCCCTCTCATCTGCCGGTGTGTGGTGGGCTCAGTGCCCACATAGCAACCGGGTCCGACACCGGGTCCGACACCGGGACCGACGTGCCGCTGTCCGCGGTGCTGAACCGGCAGCGGGTGAGGACGGAGTGGAGGATGTGGATGTAGAGCATTGGATGGAGGGTGCATGGGATGGAGGGTGTAGGGTATGAGGGATAAAGGGTAGGAATAAGGATGCATAGGATGCAGGGTGTAGAGCACTGGATGGAGGGTGCGTGGGATGGAGGGTGTGGGATATGAGGGATGAAGGGTGCATGGGAACAAGGGTACATGGGATGTATGGTGTCGTGCATTGGATGGAGGGTGCATGGGATGGAGGGTGTAGAGTGCATGGAATGAAGGGTTTAGAGTGCATTGGATGAAGGGTGCGTGAGGAGTAGGGTGAATGGAATGAAGGGTGAATGGGGTGTAGGGTGTAGTTTGTGGGGAATGAAGAGTGTAGGGTGCATGGATGCACGCACCATTTAGCGTTCAAGGGATGAAGCATGCGTGGGATGGAGGGTGTAGAGTTTACGGAATGAAGGATGTAGGGTGCAAGGGACGAAGGGTGCATGGATGCAGGCTGTGGGATTCAAGGTGCGTGGGTGCAAGGTGCATGAGGTGCGGGGTGCTGGGCAGAGGGACTGCTGGGCTGTGTGAGGATGGGGGTCCGCAGGGGATGAGGTGCAGAGCTGGGGGTGCCACGTGCAAGCTCTGAGCTCAGAGCATGCGATGGAGGGCACAGGGCCGTGGGCTGCAGTGGTGCCATGAGGAAGCAGCAGCTCTGCCCAAGGACGAGGTGCTCCTGCACTGGTGGCAATGCTGAAGCTCTCATCACCGCTCTGTCACTCCCTCACAGCCCAGCTGGCACTTCCTCCTCTTGTTCTACTCTTGTTCCTTTCTCAGACTTGATTACCAGCCCGTGAGGAGGTTCCCGCTGGAGATATCGATTCCCAGCCATCAATACTTCCTTCAGCCCCACAACGCATCGCTGCACGGCACTTCGTTCCTACACAAACCACAGGAGAGGCGTGGAAACGTTTTTCTCTGCTGGCTGCCCGCGGCCAGTGGAGATTCTGTATTTTAGGCTCATCCTTGGCGTTCACAAGGCTTCCTCCATCACCGTGCTCGAAATCTCCTTGGGCAGATGGGAAGATGGGCATCTCCTCTTCACCCCATCCGAGGAGCGGGGAGGTGAGGGATGGTTACGTGGAGGCACAGGGACTGGTAGCAATGCTGAGAGCTGGCGCTGGCACGCTGCCGAGGCAGTGACACGCTCCCATCAGCCCTGCCCGCCCTGCAATTAAACTAATGACAAGATCTTCGTGCAGGGGAAGAGCAGCTCCTTCCCAGAAGCTGAAGATGCACTGCTGGCCAAAGAATAGAAAATGCTGGCAGTGAAGCTCTGTGCTCCCTGAATGCAAACCATGCGACAAGAACAACCGGGGCTGCTACCGTGCTACCAACAGGCTTCACAGCACCACCTCTGCAGCACCAGGAGCGCATTTTGCAGCTCCTCTGGAGGAGCCTTCCTCCTCCTCCTCCTCCTCCTCCTCTGCCATGTGCCAATGGCAGGGCTGGAGGAGGGGGGGAGGGAGGGGAGCGCCTCGTAACCGCTGCTTGTTTCCTGTGCAGCTTTAATTGCGGGGCACGAGGAGTAAGATACCTTCCAGCAGCAGGGAGTGGGGTTTTGCACAGCAATTCCTCTGCACTGGGGCTGATCCATCCCTGCCTACGTGCGCACGGAACGCAGCGTTACTGACGGGAGCGAAAGAGTTACGAAGGAGAAGATTACAGGCTGAGTATACCTGGAGTAACACAGTGGCTTTTGATTACAATTACTGACACTGCCGGGTGATGTGTAATTAATATCACGGAGTAATTACACGCTTACTTCATCTGTTTAAAAATATATAAATATCCTCTGCTGTGTTTTCAATGAAAGCAGCAAACGCCGTCCCCAAAGCGGGGGCAGCGCAGGGACCGGGCAGAACCCCAAACTGCTGCGGGGTGACACGAGAAGGGGACACGGTGACAGCAGAACAGGGATCTTCACTCCCCAGTGCTGCTGACTCCCAGCAGGAGCGGTGTGGGGTGGGGGTAGTTTTAAACAGATGAAGTGTCCCACACTGAGCATCGTCCGCGGCATCGGGGTCGGAGCTGTGCCCGGTGCCTTCCCCGACCTCAGGGTTGTTCCGGGGTTTGGAGACCCCCAGATGGGGTGGGGGGCAGCAATGGGGCCGTCCCCACCTGCATTAAGCACTGCTCGAGGCTCCAATGAGCCAAAATGAAGATCTGGTTCTGCCCCAACGGAGAGCACCGGTGCTGCAGAGAGAACCCCCGGTCAGCTCGGAGCCCACCACCTACCCTGGAACAGAGCGAGGGGAACGTGTTGGTGTCTTGGCAAGGAGACGGGACGGAGCACGGACATCTCAGGGCAGAGCTGTGCAAGAACTCCAAGGTCAGGAGGAGGGGAACGCATTGCGGGAGGGGGGTTGGGGGGTGAGCAGCCCTGTGCCCCCCCCCCCCTGTGGCCCCGAGCTCCACACGGTGCGATTCTCCCTCCGGTGTCTCCGTCGCTTCAGTGCTTCCGACTGGTTTGTGTTCGTTTTGTTTTGTTTTCAATGTGAAGACCTGAGATTGAGCGTGGATTCCTGTCCTCCACCGAGCGCCGCGGCGCGAAGCGTCGCCTCCGTCCCCTTCCTTCACCACGAGTAGAGGCACCGAAACGGGGGGGGGGAAAAGGAGCGGGTTTGGGGGGGAGGGGAGAAGGGGGGAGATGTCCATCCCAAGGCATCACCGCTCCAACACCGTTCCCAGAGGGAACACCGAGTCCTCGGGGCCGCCGCCAGCTCTCCTCGTGTCCACGGAGCGCCAGGAGGGGGCTTTGCTCTGCGCTTTTAGCAGCTGCTGGAGCTGGTGTACGGGGTGGGGAAGGAGGTGGAGCTGACCCCGATGGGGCTCTCGGATAGAGGGGTCTGCGGGGTGCCGGCAGGCACGGCAACGGCCCGAGCCTCCACCACGGCGGCGAGCAGGCGCTGGTGCTGCTGGCGCAGCATGTCGGCCAGCAGCAGAGGCAGTGAGTTGAAGCTGGCGCTCAGCTGCTCCAGTTTGGATTCCAGGCTGCCGAGCTGCTTCTCCAGGTCCTCGCTGCGGTCGTTGAGCTCGGTGATGAGGTCGTACATCACGTTCTGCATCTACGGAGGGAAGGAAAGGGGTTGGATCAACGATTCCAACTTGGAGCCCCCACCCCACCCCATGCAGATGTGCAGCCCCCGACCCTTCATTGGGCTGAAAGTTCTGCTCCTGAGCCATCGCAGCTGGAAGTTGCACCCGCTCTGCAACCCAGAGGTTTCGCCTGCTCTGCAACTCAGAGCCTGCTGCTGTCAGCTCTCATCAGGCAGCCCCGGGGCTCTGCGAGCTCAGCACAATACAGGGAAGTAGGAGCAAGTGGAGGGGATGAAGACAGGGACAGCCGTGCAGCAGTGCTGCCAGCTCATGCCCTGCATGGAGCCTTCAGCCTCACACAGCGGCAGCTGATGGCAGGGCGGCTCACGGAGGGGCTGCTGCAGCTTTGCAACACTCTGCAGCCTCTGCTCCCATCTGTGCCCCAGCAAAATTATTAGTGGGGCTCCTCTGTGCCGTTCCCGGGCTGCTCTCACCCACTCCAGCCCCATTGCTAAGCTCACACCCTCCCACAGAGCCCCTGGGACAGAGCTGCCCCCATAGCAGAACATGGAGGGGACTGCTTGCAGCCAGCTGGTGGGGATGGGGCCCCAGAGGATGCTTGGCCATCTGGGAGCCACACTCCAGATAATCCCTATCGCTTTAACTCCTTCCTACCAGCAGTGCCAGCTGCATCCCTTCCCCCCCTCCCCAGCCCAGGATGAGGGGTGGGCGCACTGGGGCCGCTGGGATGCTGCACAGCACAGCAGACATCGCACACCCGGTGCACATCTGACCCCCCTGTGCTGGGACCGGCGCTTGGCGCGCCTGATTTCCGCTGCGAGGAGATGGGAATGATGAAACCTGGGGGCTGCTGAGCCCTGAGCATCCCCAGCTGGGCCGTGCAGCCTTCCTATGGGGCGGTGAGCGCGGAGCTCTATTGGAAATGGGGTGACCCCCCCGTCCCCACTCGTGGTGCGCTCTGTTCTACGCGCAGGGGCTGTGAGATGTTCACACTGACAGCTCAGGAGCCGGAGCGCTGCGGTCAGCCAGGTTCTGCCTCGGGTGTTCCAAGGGAAGAAGAACACGAGGCCATAGGGTTATGGGAGGACTTGCCTTCGAGAGGTCGACCAGCGTGTTGGCCTGGTCGCTCAGCTTCCGCTGCTCCATCTTCACACTGCGCAACCTGGGGAGGGGGAGAGCAATGCCATGCACCACTCTTCCCAACTACAAAATGCTGCAGAGACCTTCCCGTTACTAGGAAACGGAGAGCCATCCTGTGGATGGGCTGGGACCCCCTCCCCGTGCTCAGCCCTCCTCATTGCCATGAGATCCCAGAGGGACCCCCCTCCCCAGACCCAGCCCTCCTCATTGCCATGGGATCCCAGAGGGACCCCCTTCCCCAGACCCAGCCCTCCTCATTGCCATGGGATCCCAGAGGGACCCCCTTCCCCAGGCCCAGCTCTCCTCATTGCCATGAGATCCCAGAGGGACCCCCCTCCCCAGGCCCAGCCCTCCTCATTGCCATGGGATCCCAGAGGACCCTCCCAAGGCCCTGCCCTCTTCATCACCATGGGATTCCAGAGGAAACCCCTTTCCAGGCTCAGCCTTCTTCATCACATTGGCATATCAGACAGACCCCCTCCCCAATCTCAGCTCTCCCAGTCACTGTGGGATCCCAGTGGGCCCCCCTCCCCAGGCTCAGCCCTCCCCATCACAGTGGGATATCAGAGGGATCCCCTCCCTATCCTCAGCTCTCCCAATCACTGTGAGATCCCAAAGGGCCCCCTCCCCAGGCTCAGAACCCCCTCCCCCCCATGGCAGCACCCCACGGCTCCCCACTTACTGATGAATGGCTTGTAGGAACTTCCTCTGGTGCTTCCGGACTTTGGCGTGGTCTATCTTTTTCAGCAGCTTGGTGTGCTTGTAGATGAGCCACGTCTCCCGCAGGACGTTGGCCGCCGCGTTCTTGATCTGTAAGAGAAGGGCATCGGGTCAGCAGCCCCATCTGCTGCAGCGCGTGGGACGAATTATTGCACGGAAACAGCGCTCTGGCCCCGCTGGGCGCTGCTGGTTGGGATCACAGGAGCTGACTTGTCCCAGCTGGGAGCTCCATGTGCCTCATCGGACGTGTGTGGGGTCATGCAAGGCAGGGATGGAGTGCTCCAGGCAGAGCAATGGCCCTAGTCCTGCTGCATCCCCATCCCCATCCGCATCCTCATCAGCATCCCCACCCCATCCCCATCCCCACCCCATCACCATCCCCACCTCTCTCTAACGCTTTGGGGAAATGTGCTCCAACCATGGGGCTCCTCACCCACTTTGCCCTCTGGAGATGCCCCACCTGCACCCCTTGGAGCTGGATGAGGGCTCATAGTGCCCCTGTGTTCCTCAACCCACCTCTGCCCAACTGCCCCTCACTCTGTCCATCCCTTGTGCCAAAAGTGACCCCAAATGGGCGCTGAGAGTCCCTCCAGTACTGCTGGGTTGCAAGCAGAGCTCTTCTCCTCTGAGCACATGTGGCAAGGACGTGCTGTCTGACCTTGTGCCACCTGCATCACCTGAAGTGACATTGATGCATGGTGCAAATGGAACCAGTTTGGGACTCAGCTCCCTGGGGGAAGTGAGGTTATTCTGCAAGGAGACACCTAAACTTGAAACCCTGATGCTTTGCTCACATTGGATGTGACCTGGGTGTCCCACAGCCCCATCCCGCTGCCATGCTGGGGTCTGGGACAGCACCCACAGACCCACACAGCTCCAAGGGGTTCCAGGGGATGAAGCTGGCCATCTGGGATGGAGCACACAGCAGTACCACAGCACAGCACTCATCTGCAGCACAGAGCTGCTGAATCACCGAAACCCCAACACCGAGACGAGTGAGCTCATGTTCCACCAGAGAAGATGGTCCATCTCCTCCAGAGGGAAGGAGAAAATATGTGCATTTCCTGCCCTGGGTGCGGCTGCACTCTCTGCATTTCACAAAGAGCTGCAAAACAAAGCAGAGGGCCGATGCTCTCTGCTTTTACCTTAATGCTTCAGCATGTTTTGCACTCAGCACCGTGCTCCAATGGGACCCCAGGGATGCTGCAGCCCTCCCCTTGCCCTTACCCTCTTGGTCAGCTGCGTGTCCATCATGAAGTTGTGGACGTGTTTCTCAGCTTTGGTGAGCTCCAGCTTTCGGGCCACCACGGCCACCACCAGGGCTGTGCAACCAGCGCCCTGCAGGGACAGCAGGATGGGGGGACATGGGGATGTCACTTGGGGACGGGGATCACCTGCACCCCCTCTATTCCCACCCCGAGGATCGAGGAACCACATGCAAACCCCAATTAGTGGATGCACCGCATGTCCCCACCCACAGGTTGCACAAACCCCGCTATCTTGATGTGGGCAACCCAGTTTAACCCGGGTTTACAGCAGCATTCGCCCTCCCACCATGACCTTGAGCAGCTGCCAGAGCTCCCTATAATTAACGAGGCTGATTGACAAAGTCAGCGCTCCCTGACGCCCATCCCAGCACCGCGTGTCCTCACGGGACAGGGAACCCATGGGGAATCCAGGCAGAAGGGAGATACTGAGAACCCACAGAGGAGCAGTGATGGGATGGGGCTGGACCCCCCTTTGCCCACAGGCAGTGGCAGCTGGCGTGGCTTCGTCTTGGCAATGAGCACCAGATCCGGTGTGCGTTTGGGAACGGAAGGTGCCAGGCAGGGGACCCCGCTCCTCCAGGGCTCTGTGCCACCTGGCTCTGCCCGCGCCGCTCCCCCTCCCCGCAGCTCTGGCAGGGGCCCATGACCCTGGCACGCAATCCTTTATTTATTAAAGAGTCATTAATTAACATCATGAGGCTGAGCTGAGTCCTTTCGCATCCCCGCAGCTCCCAGCATGCACTCTCGGCTTTCATCACCCTTCCCTCTGCCAGCAGCACAGCCACCCTAATGCTGCTTTTTGGACAGCCCCAGCATGCTACTATTGCTTGGCAGGGTGGCACCCCCAATGGCACCCCAATCCCAATGGGACACCACCCGTGTCCCATTTCCAGGATGCTGCATGGTACCACAATTCACAATATCTGCTGGTGAGGTGGGAGCCCCAAGACCTCAACCCAGCGTGGATTTTTCAGCCGTGGCAACGCCACGTGCCGTGGAGGATGGGGACAGCAGTGCAAAGCCACAGAGCAGCCGTCCCCAGCTGCACAGCTGTGCAAGCCAGGCCGGCTCACGGCCCCTTGGAGCAGGTAGATGGGGTCCTGCAGGTCAGTGCTGTGGGTGGGAGCTCTCCCAGCTGTCCCCACTCCCTGTGGGATGCTGCAGCAGTTGGGATCGCTCGGTGTGATGGAAGTCAGACCGGCGGCCAAGGGATGCACGGGGCTGCTGGTCCCCACATCTGCTGCTTCCTTTGGACGAGGCCATCACCACGCAGCTACGGGCTTCCCGCCCCTTCCCTCAAACCAAATTCACCCCAAACCCTACAAATCAACAGCAAGGAAAGCTCCGGCAGCTTTCAGACTGCAAGACATCAATGCTCAGACAGAGCACGGAGGATGCCGGTCCCTAAAGCACCCCACTGCCCCCATCTCAATGCTTACCATGATGCCGGTGAGCAGACAGACCCCCTTCCCACAGTAGGTGTGCGGCACCATGTCCCCATACCCGATGGAGAGGAAGGTGATGGAGATGAGCCACATGGCACCCAGGAAGTTGCTGGTCACGTCCTGCTGGTCGTGGTACCTGTGTGTGTATATGGGAGGGGGGACAAAGGTGTGAATGTCACAGCTGGGAACGGGGTTGGGGCAGCACCTGGGGACCGTGGGGAGTGCTGGCACAGGGGATGGTCCCAATAGAGACCGGGTGTGGGGCTCCTCCTGCATCGTGCAAAGCAAAGGAGATGAAGACGAACGACGCAGAGGGACGCCCCAAACCCACAGAGATTGCACAATTTCCAGCACAAAAAATCAGAGGAAAACCAAACAAAACAAAAATCCAGCAGTGAGGGCTTCTGCTTTCAGTCAGAGCTGTCACCATGGCGTGGTCCCCCCCACAACTCCCCCTTGACCCCCCCCCAGTGCCACGTGGCTGATGGCAGAAACAGATGTGGGGCTGCAGGAGGGTGGGTGGGGGTGGACAGGAGCCCCCCCCAGACCCATGGGGTTGGGATACACAGAACTCACAGTCAGGGGGCATAGGGCTGAGCAGCACCAATGGGACCCACATTTGGGATGGCAGCACGGTGCAAAGGTAGGATGCACTCAGCAGGAGCTTTGCTTGAAACAACCCCAAGCTCTCCACCCTGAGAACCACCAGCCCCACAAAGGGAGGGAC